AGCCCCTCCCCCCCCCCATTCCTTGGTCCTGGGGAGACTCTGTGCCATCCTGGCCCACCCTCCGCTGCTCCCTCCCCTCAGACCGTCATTCCCAGTGGGCACCTGGGCTGCGGTCCCGTGACCCCACCACTGCCCAGTCCTCTCCTTCATTCCGTTCTCTGTTCTCTGTCCTGAGCAGGTTTTGCGGGTGCCAGTCCCTCCCACTGTCGCCTTTGAACTTGGTAAGGAGAGAAAAGGGGACTGTGGGTGGGGGAGAGGTTGGTAGCCGGGGGCTGGGGTATCCGGGGAGTCCCAGGGAGGGAGGCCGCCCTTTCTGCTCACGGGGACAGTAGAGATTCCTCCTCCCCTTCCCCCTGGTCGCTGCAGCCCAAGGGTGGGTGGAACTGGCCTCCAGCCCCCTGCCTGTGTCCCTACACAGACCGCACACGGCCCGACCTCCTCTCCGAGGACCTCCAGCGGCAGTTTGTGCAGGAGGTGGTGCAGAGCCAGCAGGCCACCGTCAGCCAGCTGCTGGAGGACTTCCGCTCCAAGAGGCTCATGGGCATGACACCCTGGGAACACGACCTGACCCAGCTGGAGGCCTGGGTGGGGCGGGACCGTGCCAGCTTTGAGGCCCGGGAGCGGCACCTGGCCGAGCGGCTGCTGACCCACCTGGAAGAGATGCAGTGAGTGGGGCCCGTGCCCTGTCCAGCCTGGTGGCCGGGGCGGGGGGGGAGGGGGTGGTCCCTGCAACTTCACGGTTCGTTCCTTAACGTTTGGGCTCTGGGTCCCCTGGCCCTGGCATTTTAATCCGTCTGGTTGTCTGGTTTTGTGTCCTCTCTTCCCAGCTTTAGGGCACCCTCCCAGTTTCCAGGTCTTTCCACAGCCTTGCGTGTGGGCCTGGCGCTTGGGTCCTGTCCTTGCAGCTCCCGGCTGCCCTTGGTGCCCTCAAAAGAGACACTCCTCCCTGCTGTGATCCTCCTTCTCCTCAGCCTTGGCACTCTCCCTCTCTGCCTCTTCTTTCTCTCCTGTCCCAGCGTCTAAGGGGACAGCAACCCAGACATTTGTGCCGGGTAGGCAGGGACCCAGGCCTAGCAAGTTTATCACAAACTTCTTTCTTCTTTTTTACAGACACACCATCTCGACTGATGAGGAAAAGAGGTGATGGAAGCAGAGAGGACAGCAGGAGAGGCATTTAGCCCCCTGGGACCCAGGGAGGAGGACCAGGGGTCTGGAGGCCTGGGCATGGAACGGCATCCCTGGCCCTGTCCTCCGGAGCCCTCTCCCCCTTCCTCAGACACTCACTTGGAAGCTGTTGTGGGGTTGGGGTGGGGAGCGAATGTGGAGGGGAAGCCTTGGGGATAGCGGTGTCACTGCGGCCATGGGCGTGTGCGCATCTGTGCACGTGTCGGGGCCCTCACCATCCCCTTCCCACAGTGCCGCTGTGGTCAACGCCATCAGCCTGTACATGCGCCACCTTGGGGTGCGGACCAAGAGCGGGGACAAGAAGTCAGGGAGGAATTTCTTCCGAAAAAAGGTGCTTCCCTGAGCGCCCAAACCTGGCCCTTTCCTCCCCAGGGACTCCTGGGGAGCCCCGTGACTCTGGCCTCCTGGGGTCTGATTCAGCTTTGTTGGGGTCTCAGAAATGCACAGCCCCCTCTCCACTCTCCTCCTTCCCTTAGATGATAGGGAATCGGCGGTCAGATGAGCCAACCAAGACGAAGAAAGGCCTGAGCATCTTCCTGGATGCTGCCCGCTGGAATCGGGGAGAGCCTCAGGGTGAGGTGGCTGGCCCCGGCCCTCCCTGACTTCCCCCACACCGCCCCCGCCTCATGGTCCCGTCTTTTCATTTCAGCCCCAGATTTCCGACACCTCAAAGTCGAGGCTGATGGTAATGGTCCTGAAGCTAGCTGGGGGCCTCGGGGAGGGGGTGGGGGGCGGTAGAATGGAGCTGGAGCACAGGCTGCTGTGTGGGTTAGAGTCAACTGGGCTCTCATTTCCACTGTCTCCTGGATGTTTCCCCAGCTGAGAAGCCAGGCCTTACAGAAAGGAAGGGAGGCCTGGGGGTGCCCTCCCGGGACCGGAACACTGGAGCTGCCGGGCAGGACATCCCTGGAGTTTCTCTGCACCCTCTGTCTGGGGACAGCCCTGACCGGGAGCCAGGTGAGTTTCCTGGGTCTCTCAGAGAGACTGCCCCGCCCCCTGCTCCTGGTCACCAGTCTTGTTAATAAAACCACCCCCTTCCCTCAGTTCACCCATTCCACAGCTTTCCTCTCAGGCTCCCACCGCTCTCCAGGTGATGCGTTTCCCACCTGCTTGGACTACGTTTCCCGTCAGCCCCCCACAGCGGCATTTCCCAGGACCCTCTCAGTACACTGTCAGTCACCCCCATGGATCTGAGACAGCTGCTTGGCTGGGCCTGGGTTCAGATCCTGGCTCTGCGGCTTAGTTGTGTTGTATCTCGGGAGTCACTCCTCTGTCTGAGACTCAGGCTCCTCGTTCCTAAATGGGACCCCCCCCCCTTCCCGTAAGTCCCGCCTGAGACTCGGGAGAGGGAATGGACGCGGAGGCATCATGCAGAGCACCTGGTCTCCCCTGCTTCAGTGTTTTCTTCACCGCCTCCACCCCCCCCCGGCCCCAGCTGCCCACAGCCGTGTTCTCAGAGGCCTTTCCATTTCCATCTGTCCGTCCCCCGCTGAAACGCAGGGCAGCCTCTGGTGTCTGGCAGGCATTGGGTGGTTTTAGCCCCCGTCCCCCATTCCCCGGGGGTCACGGAGGCCCCCAGAGCATGGGTCTTGCCACGAGGGCCTGGCAGCCAGCCTCGCTCTCCCCCGCTGCCCGCACAGGTGTTGATGCCCCACCAGAGCTGGGGGACCCGCCCCCGCAGGGCCCGGCCAGCCTGGAGCCCGTGGTGCCCCCGGAGAACACGGAGGAGGGTGCTGAGACAGAGAGGTGCCCGGGGCCGGGTGCGGGGGGAGGGGTTGCTGGGAGCAGGACCAGGCTTACCAGGCGGGGGAGGCGTGTGCCGTGTGCCGGGTCGCGCTGCCATCTGCACCTGCTGTCCCCGAACCGTCTCCACTCTGCCCTGCTCCTCCCTTTTTCCATTTTCCGCCTTCTCTTTCCTTCTCCGGCTTCCTCTTTTCTCATCTCCTCCTCCCACTTCCTCTTCTTGCGCTCCGAGCCCCTTCAGGTTTTCAGCCCTTCCCTCCTCTTCTAAGCCACCGCCCAGCGCCTTGCTCCTGCCTCCCGGTGCCCTGTCCTCCATCCCCCACCCTGTGTGCTCCATGCCTGGGGGCCCTGTCCCCCTCACAGTTGGGGGGCAGGCTCTGCCCCCTGCCTGTCCTTGTGCCGCTGCTTTGGGGACCCTTTGGTGGGTGGGGGAGGTGAGTTGGGTTCCATTTGGGTCCACCTCTGACCCTGTGCCCCTCTCTCCCCAGAAAGTGGAAGAGGTGGGTGCCTGGGCCCTGGGTTGGGGGAGGGCTAGCCCCTCCCCCACTTCTCCCAGCCCCTCCCCTCTCCCCATGGGCCACCCCCTCCCCTTCACCCTGCAAGGGGTGGGTGGGGACATCACCCTCCCAGCAGAAGAGCTAAGTATTAAAACCCCCTTCCCCACCTCACTCCCAGCTCTGCCCCCACCATCCCCCTGCCTCAGGGAAGGGAGGGGTCAGTCCTGTGCTCCATACTGGGTTTCCCTCCCTACCCCTCCTGACCACCCCCACTGCCCCAGCACCCCGAAGTCCCACTGCTCCTTCTGACTCTCTCCTCTCTTCTGTTGCATGTTCAATCTCTGTCCTGGTCTCCCCTACCCCCGTCCGTCTGTCCCTGTCCTGGTCTCTCTGTCTGTCCCTGACCTGGTATCTCCCCCCCCCTCTGTCCCTGTCCTGGCCTCTCCCCTTCTGTCCCTGTCTTGGTCTCTCCCCATCTCTGTCCCTGTCTTGGTCTCTCCCTGTCTCTGTACTGGCCTCTGGCTGACTCTGTCCTTGGCCTCGGGGTCCAGGCTATCGGGGCGTCTGGGGCGCTCGGAGAGCCTGCGGGTGAGTGACCGCCGCCGGCCTTCCCGGGGCAGCCTCGGGGCTAAGGGCCGGGGTGGGGGCCGCTCCCGGAGTGACGTGGACATGGACCCCAGCTCTGCCACGGCCGTGCTTGGCCCTGCCCGACGAGCCACGTAGGTCATTCCTCCCCCCATCCACTGAGGCAGCCTGGAGTGTCAGAAGGATGGTGGGGGCGGGGTTGTTGCCAGAGTGACAGAGAACTGGGTTTTGGCTGCTAAGGTCACCAAGGTCACAAGAAAGGTGTGGGACTCTTCTTTCTAGAGATCTGGGGGCATATGGGCTACTTTGGAGGCATTGAATGCCAAGGCCACAGCGGGGGGTTGGACACTAGGAATGGAGGTCTTCTCCCTGGGATGCCCCAAGCCGGGGCCCTAACAAGGCCTCTGTCCCACAGCCCTGAGCCTGGAGATGAAGGGGACCCAGGTCGGTCTGGACTAGAGCTGGAACCAGAAGAGCCCCCTGGCTGGCGGGAGCTCGTCCCCCCAGGCACCCTGCACAGCCTGCCCAAGAGCCAGGTGAAGCGGCAGGAGGTTATCAGCGGTGAGTACCCCTCGCTGCGCCCCCTGTGGCCAGCCACACAGCCCAGTTCTGCCGAAGAGACAGGTGCGGGGAGATGTCCACCCGGGGGTCAATGACAACAGGCCGAACTGCGAGCTGGCCTGTTCCCATTGAGGGCCATTCATTATGTAAATTGTAGAACAGCCACTTGTGGAACAGGACTGTGGCTGTCAGCCCGTCAAACTGACGTTCGCAGAGAGTTTTTGGTAGTGCGGGACAGTGCAGGCAGGAGCTGGAAATGGTACAGAAAGTTGTATTTCTAGTGCAAATCCTTGTTTCCTTATTTGAGAAACACGGATAATAATGGTCCTACCCCAAAAGACTGTCACGAAGCAGAGATGTTTCACGTGATGTTTAGCGTGGGTGTGGGGCTGGGTAAGAACGTTCTGATGTGACGGTTACTACTGTGATCTTAACCGTTTAGGGGCGAAATGGGCAAGTTTCAGAAGATAATACATCAGTGCTTGCTTCTGGGCGGAGAGATGATGGGAGTATCATTTCTGTCTCGATTCTTTTCTGTGATTTCAAATTGTGCGGAGGGGGGTTTGGCAAAAGTAGAAGACCTTTTTGGAAGCTCTGGTTTGGAAGTTCATTTACAAGTTACTTAGTAAGAAGGGTACTCGTTTGGAATTTTTAGGGCAGTTAGGTGAATCCTTTTTTATTACAGATCCTACTAGGGACGTGATCCAAACGTAAAGCAGCGCCATCTGATAGCGTTTTCCGGAATCATGAAAACACGCAACATCTGTGCTGTCCAGCATGGTTACCACCAGCCACATAATGGCTCTTAAGCCCTTGAAATGTGACCAGTACAACTGAGAAGTGAATTTTGTATTTCATCTCATTTTAATTAAATTTCGAAGGCCCATATGTGGCTAGTGGCTACCGTAGCAGACAGCACAGCACTTTCTCTAGTCAGAAAAATACGAATAATGTGGAATTGTACATTCGGTCTCCAGGAACTCCTGGGGCCCCTGAAATCCAAGCATGTGGTCCCTCTGGGGGCGGGGTCCCTGAATCCAAGGCTATCAGCGTGTGTTTGAGGGGTTGTTGTTGTTCCAGAAACCAAGGCTGAGAGACTCACTGGACCTTTAGACACGAAACACAGCTGCAGGCTTGCTGGTGGTGGTGTGACCACATCATCCCAGTTTGCCTGGGAGTTTCCTGGCTTTGGCACTGAAAATCCCACGCGCCGGGAAATGCATCGGTGCCAGGCAAACTGGGAGCCGTGGCCACAGCCTGGCTGGCTGCCGCAGCCGAGGAAAAGCAGTGATGGGCTAAGGAACCCTCAGTGGCTATTTCAGGGGCAAATGACTGTCCAGGCTGTCCTCATCCCCCTCTCCCAACCTGCCCTTGAGACTGCACCCTGTAGTTTGCACTCTCCCCAGCCATGCTGCCTGTTCTTTGCCCCCCATCAGAGCTGCTGGTGACCGAGGCGGCCCATGTGCGCATGCTCCGGGTGCTGCACGACCTCTTCTACCAGCCCATGGCAGAAGGAGGCTTCTTCCCCCTGGAGGAGCTACAGTACATCTTCCCCAGCCTGGACGAGCTCATCGAGGTGCATTGTGAGTGCAGGGCAGCAGCCCCACAGTGCACCCCACCGTGGGCCCCCTCCTTCAAGGCCTTGGCAGCTAGACCTGGAGCCTAGCACGTCTCCCTGAGTCCCTACCCCGGCCAGCTTCTTTTCTAGCAGTGGGGACAGCCCCAGGCCCCAGAGCTCACATTCCATGGGGCACATCAATAAGCGTGGGGGTGGGGTGGGGGTGGAGGACAGCCCGTTGGCCCCAGGGTGGGGGTGGGGGACAGCCCGTTGGCCCCAAGGATCAGGCAGACACCCTGCAGCCCAGCCACCACCGTCTCCTGACCGGCTCTGCATACAACCTTGCACCCTGACGGAGGTCCTCACAGGGCCCTGACAGAGCACCCCCTTTCCTCACCGCGCTCCACAGCCCAGTTCCTCGATCAACTGATGAAGCGGAGGCAGGATAGTGGCTACCTCATTGAGGAGATCGGAGATGTACTGCTGGCCCGGGTGAGGGTGCCCAGCCCCTGCCCCCTCTGGGAGCCCCTCCTCCCAGCCAGGGACCTGGAATCCAGGCCCGAGGAGGCCAGCTCTCAAGCCTCCCCTCCATCAAGACCCGGGGGTCTGGGCCCCTAGCCCTGTCCTCCTGTCTAGGCCGCTATTCCCACGTGAGGCCCTGCTCTCTCCAATCCTACCTGAGACACCCTCCCTGGCCTGAATCTCACTATAGTTTGATGGTGCCGAAGGCTCCTGGTTCCAGAAAATCTCCTCCCGCTTCTGCAGCCACCAGTCATTTGCCTTAGAGCAGCTCAAAGCCAAACAGCGCAAGGAGCCTCGGTTCTGCGCCTTTGTGCAGGTAAGGGGGAAGCCTGGACCCCGGGGCCCCGGAGGGGGCTGGTGTCCCAGTCCCCGAGGTGAGCCGCCTCCACGCTACTCTCCCCTCAGGAGGCCGAGAGCCGCCCACGGTGCCGCCGCTTGCAGCTGAAGGACATGATCCCCACGGAGATGCAGCGCCTGACCAAGTACCCCCTGCTCCTGCAGAGCATCGGGCAGAATACAGGTACCGCGGGCCCCGCTCTCCCATCTCCCGCGTGGCTGTGGGACCCGAGCTTCCGGGGCTGGAGCTCACCGGGGCCGGTCTCTCCTCTGCCACAGAAGAGCTGGCCGAACGGGAGAAAGTGGAGCGGGCGGCTGAGTGCTGCCGGGAAATTCTGCACCACGTCAACCAAGCTGTACGCGACATGGAGGACCTGCTGGTGAGCCCGCGTGTGGCCCTGGGCCCAGGGCACTGGGACGAATGTGTGCAGAGGTTGGCCCGGCCTTTGTCTCGTCCTCCCCGGGGCCACTTCTTGGGAGGTCGGGCCCAGCCCTTGGCTTGTCCCCCTCGGGGTCACTGTCGGTCAGCCCCAGCCCTTGGGTTGTCCCCGTGACTCTCCCTTCCCTGCCCCAGCGGCTCAAGGATTATCAGAAGCGCCTGGATTTGTCCCACCTGCGGCAGAGCAGCGACCCCATGCTGAACGAGTTCAAGGTGGCTCTGCCTGCCCTGGCCTCCCCTCCTGTCCTCTCCCTTGCCTTCCCCTGCCCTCAGCCAGCCCTGACCCTCTGGCCTCGGGGAGTCTCCCATAACGCACCCAGGGAGCGAGAGCCACCCCTGTGCCCTGCGCCCCTCCTCATTCCCAGCGGGTTGCCCCTCCTGATGATCCCCGACTACGACCCTGGCCCTGTGAATCATCCCGACCCTCCCCTGCCCTCTCCTGCATCGACCATGACTCCTTCCTGCCTCCAGAACCTAGATATCACCAGGAGGAAGCTGGTCCACGAGGGCCCGCTGACGTGGCGGGTGACGAAGGACAAGGCTGTAGGTGGGTGCTGGCGCCGAGTGGGGCCCAGGGGCGGGGCACTCAGAGCGGGGAGGCCGCTGAGCTCCGGCCTTGCCCTGCAGAGGTCCACGTGCTCCTGCTGGACGACCTGCTGCTATTGCTCCAGCGGCAGGACGAGCGGCTGCTGCTCAAGTCACACAGCCGGACGCTGACGCCCACCCCCGACGGCAAGACCATGCTGCGGCCCGTGCTGCGGCTCACGTCCGCCATGACCCGCGAGGTGGCCACCGGTGAGGCCTGGCCCGGCGGCCCCGGGCACACCCGCCCGTGGAATGGGAGGTGACCCTCTAGAGAGCTGGGGAACGCACGTTCTAGCACTTGGGAGGCTGCTGCGGAGGTTGAGAAGGGGGCGGTGTGAGAGGCCCCCAGCTCGCCATGGCGGGGGGCCGGGCCGGGTTGTAGATCTTAGAGCTACACATGCCCGCACAGGAGCAGCCAGCTCTGACCGGCGTTCGAAAAGACACCGTGGCTGCTTCTTGGGGATGGTGGGGGAGCAGCGGTGGGGGCGGGAGCCCAGTGAGGAGGGGTTTGCACGTGTGCTGCCGGGAAGCTGCACCAGGGGCTCCGGGGGTTTGTGTGTAGAGCTAGACTGGGGACTGGCTGCCTGATGGATTAGGGGGAGTGAGAGGGAGGGACGGACTGAGCTGGGGCATCCGAGGCCACCGCAGTCAGGGGCTTGCCCAGGCTCAGGGGAGGCACAAGGTGGGGTGACCCTGGCTCCGAACCCCCCCTCCCTCTTCCTGCAGATCACAAAGCCTTCTATGTCATTTTTACCTGGGACCAAGAGGCTCAGATCTACGAGCTGGTGGCCCAGACCGTGTCGGAACGGAAGAAGTGAGGGGGTCTAGGTTCTAAGCTTGGGTGGAAGAGGAGGTCCAGGCCCTGGGTCTCCAGGGGCAGGGCTGGCGGTGGGAGGCCCTGACACAGGGTCTGGGGGGCTCTGACTGCCCCGGGGCCTGTCTCCCCAGCTGGTGTGCCCTCATCACGGAGACCGCTGGATCCTTGAAGGTCCCTGCCCCTGCCTCTCGCCCCAAACCCCGGCCCAGCCCAAGCAGGTGAGGGGCCTGGGAGGAAATTGGAGGGCTGAGGAGCTGGGGGAGACCTTTCTGTGCCCCCAGAACCTGAGCTCTAGCCCCGTGTGTGTGTGCATGTGTGTGCACACCCATCACAGCCCATCTGGCTCCTCTCCAGGTCCCTCTGTCTCCATCTTCCAGCCTCAATTTCTCTTTGTCTCTGAACCTCCCTGCCCCCTGCTGCCCCCAGGGCTGTGGGGTCACCCAGTACTTCTCCCCACAGCACCCGGGAACCCCTGCTCAGCAGCTCGGACAATGGCAACTGTGGTGGCCGAGAGATGCCCCCAGCTGACGGTGAGCCTTTTCGGGGGGTGCTGGAAGGGGGCAGGATTGCCGAGGATACCCGGCCGGAACTGAGCACCCTCCCTGCTCGCCCACCCAGGCCGCATGGAGAGAATCTTCAGCACCCTCCTGCCCTACTGCAGACCTGGCCCTGAAGGCCAGCTGGCAGCCAAGGCCCTTGAGAAAGGTAGCCCTGTGCCGTCCCGTCCTGCTGCCAGCCCGGCTTTCCAGCTCCCCTCCTGCCCGGGCCTGCATGCCAGGCCTATACCACCACCCTCAGGGGGCCAAGCCCCTCCTTCTGCAGCCTCTGTCCCTTCCTTGACCTTCCAATTCACCCTCTCCCAGGACGCCCTCTTCATGCCCTCCCACCCTGCCCCAGCTCTAGCCACGGGCTCACCTCTGCACCCCACCTCCCCTCTTTGCCAGTCCTGCCTCTGACTCTGTCCTCTTGTCCCTGGCCAGTGCTGTCCCTGAAGCAACTCCTGTTTCCCTCGGAGGAAGATAGTGGGGCGGGGCCTCCCCGTGAAGGGGATGGGGTCCCGGGGGGCGGCCCCCCGAGCCTGACACAGACCCAGACCCAGGAAATTCAGGAGAAGCTGCTCAGCCTGGAGGAGACCATTAAACAGCTGGAGGTGGTGGCCTGGGGGGAGGGTCAGAGTGGGGGGGAGGATGGGGCTCGGTGGAGGGACGTCACTCATTGATGACCTTTCTGCCCCCGTCCCCCCCCAACCAGGAGGTGGAAGAGGAATTCTGTCGTGTACGACTCCTCCTGTCTCAGCTTGGGGAAAACCCTGTCCCCCAGCCTGGCTGTACCTGAGGCTTCCTGCCCCAGGCAGGTGAGTGGGGGAACCAGAGGCCCCAACGCTGCCCACAGGGGAGGGACCAGAGTGGGCATTTCAGGGCTCCCTTGTCCACGGCCCCGTCCATCTCTCTCCCTTGGTCTCGCTGCATCTCCCCGTGCCACCTCCTGGCCATCAGTTTCTGCTTCTCGGGCTCTTCTGTCCCCTCCCTGCCCATCCTCTCCCTTCCCTCTTCTCTTTGCCCCCCACCTGTGTCCTCCCAACTCCACACCCTCTCCCCACCACCCTGCCTTTTCTCTGCTGCTGTCTTCATCTCTCCGCTTCCCTTCTCCTCCAGCCCCCAGGCCTTCCGCAAGACTGAGGGCCACCCGCCCCCACCGCACAGCTGCCGCAGCATCTCCAACCCCAAGGGCCTGAGGAGAGGGAGCCAGGCGTGCCTGGGGGGCCCAGCTGGGATCACTGCCTCCCCCCAACCTCCCATTGGCCTTGGCCTTCTCTCCCTTCTGCTTGGGGGACTCAGGGCTTCATTCCAGGGCAGACCCACAGTGACCTCCCATTCCCCGGGCCAGCTCTGTATTGCCTGGGCTTGGGCCACCCCTCCATCCCCCCACCCCCAAGTGCCTCTGCTCTGTTTTTATACCCCGAATTGGAGGTTTATTTTTTAATATATATTACCTAAGGAGAGGTCTGTGTGTGTGAGGGTGGGGTGGGGGCTCTGGAGTGGCTTCTGGACCCTCCTGGGTTGTCTGACATCCCCTTCTTCTGCAGTTCTTCATTCATTGGTTCCTGTGCTTTAACAGAGACTCCCAAGGCCACTCCTCCCACACCCTGAGCCCCCGCCATCACCCATGACACTGGGCTCCCCCACATCTCACACTCCTTTCCGTTCTTTTATTTTTGTAGTAAACTCTCTGGAGGTGGCTGTTGGGGGTTGTGGGGAGGGGGCCCTCCTGGGCAGGGGCTGGGGGCGGGGTTATTGCTCTGAGCTCCCTGTCCCCAGGGGGCCTGTGTGGGGAGGGTGTCAGGACTGGGGCTGGCACAAGAGCAGACATGGCCGAACGAACACGCAGGTCACAGCACGGGGGTGGGCGGGCAGGAGAGGCTGGGCGCCATATTGCACTTTCGGAGCGGGGCCAGGCGGGGAGCCCCCTCAAACCGGAGCCTGGGAAAGAGGCTGGAGACCATTGTGTCCCCTCCCCCTCTGAAGGGGGAGGTGAGACCCCAACCCAGGGTTAGGAAAGAAGGTGGGTGACCATGTGGCCGGTCCTAGGAGGGGCCGAGGGCAGGGCCTTGGCCTTGGGCAGGACATGGAGGGCACACTGGACCAGGGCAGAGGCTGCCCCCCCCCCCCCAAGCCCCCACCCTGGCAGAATCCTTTACCCCACAATGGTTCAGCTGCCGATCCCCCCTTTGCTCGCCTTGGCCTTGGGGGGCACAGGGAGGCCCTCGTCGCCCTCGCTGTCAGAGCTGCAGCCGCTGACATCAGTGATCTCCAGCTCTGAGTCGCTGTCCTCCTTCCCACCCAGCGCAGCCTCTGGACCCCCAGCTCCGGGCAGTGCCAGGCGAGGGGCGGCTGCCAGGCCCGAGGGGCGCTCAGGGCCCAGGCCCTCCCCCGTCGCAGCCAGCAGGGGTGAAGCTGTGGGGCCTCCCCCTGCCCCTGCTGAGGGCAGGTGGCCCAGGGGACCGGCCAGAGGGTTGGGGTAGAAGTGTGGGGGGTAGAGAGAGGGGGGCAGCTTGGGGAAGGGGCCGGTGAGGTACGGGTTAAAGTTCCAGGGGTACTCTGGGAAGGCGCGGCCATAAGGACCCAGCAGGCCAGGGGGCTTGGAATAGCCGGTGGCACCTGGTGAGTACAGGGGACAGAGGATCAGGTCGGGCACACCTCCACTGCCGGGGCTGCCTGCAGTGTTCCACCCGGTTCTCCCCCTCTCCCACGTGACATCTGCCGCCCCCCACCCTGTGGTTGCCCCCAGCTCTCCCCATTCCTTTGGCGCCCTGAAAGCCCTTCTCCCAGGCTGTTCCCTCTCTAGTTTCCCTCCTCCCTGCCTTCCTTGAATCCTCCTGTGGCTTTTAAAACGTGCTCACACACAACCTCGCCCCGGGCCTCCTTCCTGCATCCTGTCTCTCCCCATCTTTGCCCATCCTTTCCCCTCAAACATGTGCAGCATCCCCCCACCCCTCCCCCAGCACCCACAGGCTCTTACCGGAGCCCAGAAACGGGAAAGGGCTGTCCAGACGCAGTTTGTCTGTCTCAGGGGTGAACAGGGGCGCCCGGGCCCCTGGCTCTCCCAGGCGAGGGGCAGAGAACAGGGTCTGCAAGGTCTAGAGGGGGAGGGGGGAGGCAGCACCGCTCAGAGTGGCTGCCCCGTCCCCAGGGGTTGATGGCTGGCGAGGGGGGCACCAGACACCCAGTGCTGGGACCTCAGTGTCCCTAACTCACCTCAGGGGTAAGGGGAGGAACATCTGGCCCAGAGGTCCCCCCAAAGGGACCAGGGGTCAGCAAGAGTGGGGAGCCCGTGGTGGCTGCTGCCACATCCAACAGCGGGTAGTTGACCAGCACGACTTTGCTGAAGTTGAACTTGTAGGTGAACCTCTTCCCTTTGGTCTTGTGGAGAATCCGCTTGTTGTAGTAGTAGCTAGAGAGAGAATGAGGGAATGCTGGGCAGGGCCCCTAACTCACGTTCTGTGCCAGGCACGGTGCACAGAGCACTATAGTTTGGGGGAACGGAGGCTCACAGAAGTCCCTTCAGCAAGGTCACAAGGCAAGGAAAGGGTGAAGCAGGCTGGGACGCTGGCTTCCGGCCTTCCTCCTTGCTTCCCGTCCGCTCACAAGTAGTCACGGTAGCTACTGCGCGCTGGGATCCGAGGGATTCTGCCCCAGGAGACTGAGGGCAAGCCCCAGGGGGTGGGGGTCGAGAGGGACAGGGAGGGGAGAAGGGGCAAGGTGCCAGCCGGCCTCTCCCCACCCCTCCTCACCGCAGGGCCCGGCTCAGCTTGTCATAATTCATGTGGGGCTTGCACTTGCGGATGCCCCAGAGCCGAGCCACCTCGTCAGGGTCCTTGATGACGAATTCCCCGTAGTCCCCCTGCCAGGCGATGACACCCTGGTATTCCTCCTTCTGCAGCAGCTCCAGGATAAAGTGCCACAGCTGGATCTGCCTCGAGCCAGGGGACGACTCCGGCTTGTAGGCCCAATCTGGGAAGGCAAACCCTGGGGACAGGAGGCAGGGGAGTGGCCCTGGGTCAGGACACCGAGGCCAGGGCTCCCGGTCCTACTTGGACTCCGGAACCGAGAGGCATCCGGTCTTCCCCCCGACTCCCAGCCTCTGATGAACAGCTAGCTACCCACCCCTTGATGCCTTTAGGGACCCAATTCCTACTCTCTACCCCAGCTGGTGTCTAGTCCCCCATCTGGCCAAAGAGGCAAGAACTCCGTTGTCCGGGGACCCCGGGGTGGCACCTCCAGCCTCATCCTCGACCTTGGCACTTGAAGTCTGCCAGGTTCAGCGCCCCCGGGGTGGAGGTGGGAGGGATCAGTTTCCTGCGGCCTCGACCGTGGGGAGGAAATGGAGGGGGCAGCTTGCAGGGGAAGGGCACCCCCGACACGGGGGACAGCCCTCCTCCCGCTGCCCCCTCCAGCCCTGCCCTGAGAAGCCCCCAGTCGCTCCTGCTCTCTGGAACACCCCCTCCCTGTCCCTTGCCCCCTGCTCCATCTCTCCCTGAAGCCCTCCGCTGACCCCGCCCTGGGGCGGCCAGGCCCGTGTGCCCATGTGTCTTTGCACCGGTCCGTGTACTTACACTCTCACGTGCCACATCCCCACCCACACCTGGCTCTGTCGGTCCTAGAGCAGTGTGCATAAGCGTAAACCTGCAGCACGCACACAGCCGTCCCCTCACACTCCAGGGATGCCCAGCTACACCGTGGGACACAGGTGGCCCCGAGGGCGGCGCTCCTGCTGGGGCGCGACACCTCGCCCACGACGTGCCACCACGGCGGACACACCAGATACCCGGCATCACACGTCCGTCCCAACACACAATCGTACGTCTCCGGCCCCTCGGAACCAAGACCCACTAACAACGCAGCCATGACGGGAGACGCACAGGACGCCAAAGGCCCAAATCACACACAGTGTGGCAGAACTGGCGGGTGCGGCGTCGGGACGCGTGTGTCAGCCTGACAGGCGCACGCGGGCTGAGACCACGCCTGCAGAGCGGCCTCCCAAACCCACGAGACGCAGGCACCCGCGCTCTGTAACACCGAGGGCTCGCCCCTTGGCACACGCTTCACACACACGAGTGGCCCGCACCCTGCTGTCCAAATGTGCCGAATAAGCTGGATGGAAAGGGGAGGGTCTCGCCCACCCCCGAGTCTCCCCTCCCATCCACAAGGCCCCGGGCCCACTTCTGTGCTCAATCCTGGGCCACGTCCTCTTCCTCCCTCCCTCCTCAGAGACCCCCGGGCCCACGCCTGAGAACAGCAGGCAGGATCAGCCCACAGAGAACCGAGGTTGGGGAGGAAGACAACGCTAAGCTACCTACTTGCTGTGTGGCCCCAGGGCAGGTCCTTGCCCTCTCTGGCTTAATAGAATTTCAGCGGTAGGAGGCAAGGGGCAGCAGGGTCCCACCCAGGCTGCCTGGTGCTGGTGCGTGAGAATCGGCGCTAATGCCTCCCGCCGAGGGCTCGGGAGGCAGGCGAGGCGGTTTCCTCCCCGAAGAGAGAATTTTTCTCTCAACCCCATTCTGGGTCTTTCTTACTTCGGGTGATGGGGCTCAATCAGCTCGTGAGGTCCGGCCCATTCCACACCCGCTACTGCATCACACACACACACACACACACACACGCAAGACGAGCATTACTGCCAAGGCTACAAGGGCCTCCCGGTAGAGGACAGGGCACAACTGCCCCACACCTGTAGATACACGACCCAGTCCGGAACCACCACGTGCCCTCAAACACATTTCCTCAGACGGACTGGATCTGCCGGGACCCACAACGCACAACTAGAGAGACCAAGAATCCTCAGTTTCTAAGAGACACACTGTGACAGACCCCCCCCCCAAGTTCAGTCACAGTGACCCACGGATACAAGTGACTTCTCTCCCCCCCACCGCCAAGACACGACATTAGAGGCCGGGGGCACCCACCCGCCCACGCAGCCCGAAGTGCACCGAAACCTCCGTCCCGGACCATGATACGCACCAGGAAGTCATGGTCAAGAGCGCCTCACCCCCGAGGCAGGTACGTGCTTGGCAAGCCCACAGACACCCCCAATCCTAAAACGCAGACATGCTGCGCCCAATGTCCCAAAGAAACCCCCCCACCCAGCCCAGAGACGCTCAGGTAGGGGTGTGTGTGTGTGTGTGTGTGTGTGTGTGCGTGCACACGCACGAGCAGGCTCGCCAGCTCACACAAAGACAGACGTCGCACATACACTCTCCCAGTGCGACCACTTCTTCCAGAAGCACTGACGTGTGACGCAAGGACACACTCCGAGCCCCCAAACTAGCAGGCACAGAGTCCCAGTCTACACGCACGCACACGCGCACTCCCCATCTGTGGGGCGTGTGACTTGGGCTTAAATGCACGTCCAAGCCGGTCTTACTGTCCACATC